TTATAATTACAATTTAAATTTGAAAAAGCATTATGTATTTGAAACTTTTTGCAATATATTGCTTATTGTTCTATGAAAGTTGTCTAAAAATGCAAATTAACGTAATTTGTAGAGCCTTACTATCAATTTATTAAGCTTATCACACTGGCATTATTTTGTTCATTAGATAAAAGTCATTCGTTTTTTTAAAGCATCAAGATCAGCAGGAGCCCGATTCTTCTCGTCCCTTCCAGTTACGTACCTTGGAATATTTTACGAGGTTATTACGGTAAAAGAATCTTATATGGAAATGGACAATTGTGTTATTTCAGCTGGATAGATATAACTGGAGCAAATGCCAATATGGATAATAAGAGAGAAGAGAAATATTATTAAGAGAGGCACACTGCAGAATATAACAACTGCAACATTTCCAAAATAATAGAAAGAAATTTGTTCCTACCTCGGGAGTTTTTTGTGAAATAGAAAAATAGTACTCGCTACTGATTTGCATCTGGCCAGGAGCAAGATGATTGTAGGTTAACAAAAAGTGAAAATAGTGCAGATCTCTCTCGCACAGGAACTAAGGGAAAAAATAAATGATTTTTTTTCCAGAATTATTGTCAAATGTTTTATTTATCAATCGCAGATACACGTTTCAAAAATGTACATTACTTACATACTATGTATTCACCTAAAGTAGGGTTCAGTTACAAAAAAATCCACCGGAATGGTGTCACAAGTGGGTTTCAATATCACGAAAACAGTTATCAAGTAAATAATATCAAACTTGAACAAATATTATACAAAGAATATACCATCACGTCCGAGGCTAGTATAAAATGTCCTTAAAATTTATGTTTCTCGTATAAAATTTTTTCGTAGTCGTTATTCGATGCTCACGTTTATGTTCCTTGCACTTTAAAAGTCACTAGCCAGTACGTGTATGCATGTATTTTTTTTTTGAGCTGAAAACACTGAAAGTAAAAAATGATAAAAATTAAAGAGAAATTCTAGTAAAAATTACTATTTCGTACAGTAAATTGGATGCAAGTTGGAAAAAAAGGAAAAAATTATTACTTTTCACAGTAAATATTATTGTTCTAGCAGTAAAAATTATAGTTTGAATAGTTAGAATTATGGTTAGAACAGAAAACATTACCATACTGGAACAGTAAACCTTAAAAGGATTGGATGGTAAATTTTACTTTCCCGCATGGAAATTTTTACTATTTGAACCATAATTTTAACTGTTGAAACAATAATATTTAGTGTTGAAAACAACAATTTTCTTTTTTTTTTTTTTGCCAACTTGCACCCGATGTACCGTACATCATGGAAATTTTCGCTGTAATTTCTCGACAATTTTTACCATTTTTTTCTTCCAGTGCACAAAACACCTCTTCCCCATCAAGGTTTTCTACACTCGTACAAACGCTTATTGCCAGCGTGTGTCATTTTGTGCTTTTCGAGTTCACTCCTTCGAGTAAAAGATTTCCCACATCCGCGCACATGGCACTTGTAGGGAAAACCATCAGTGTGCGTCCGGTAATGGTTCAACAGGTGATTTCGCCGAGTAAAAGCCCGTCCGCATTCGGGTTTACTGCACTCGTAAGGACGCACGCCCCCGTGGATGCGCATGTGCGCCGAGAGATTACATCGTTCTTTAAAAGCTTTTCTACACCCAGGCACATTGCACCGGAAGGGCCGCTCGCCGGTGTGTGCGAGAAAGTGTCTTCGGGGCCCGCTCGCCGAGGCAAACGTTTTTCCACACCCGGGTACTTTGCACTTGTAGCGCACGCCAGTGTGTACGCGCGTGTGGTTTCTCAGCACACTTGGTTGAGCGAAGGCTTTTCCGCATCCTCGTTCGGGACACTTGTAGGGCCGCTCGCCGGTGTGTATGCGCGCGTGAACGTTCAAAGTACTTTTCGAAGCGAAAGCTTTTTCGCATCCGGGCTCTTTGCACCTGTAGGGCCGCTCGCCGGTGTGCACGCGCAAGTGAATGATGAGGTTTTGTTTGTGAGCGAAATCTTGTCCACACTCGTCGCATGTGAAACGTAATTGTCCACTGTGTACGTACGAGTGTCTGTCGAGGAGGCATTTGTTGGCGAATTTTTTTCCACAATTGCCTTCGTCGCACACGTAGGGGCGCTCGCCGGTGTGTTTACGCACGTGGATTGTGAGTTTGCTTTGGCGAGCGAAAGGTTTTTTACAGAATCGACACTCGAGAAGTCGTTTTTTCTTCTCCTCCATTGAAAGACTTTTTCTTGTCGATTTCAATGTTAATGCGGATAATTGGCGTGAATTCGTGTATAGTCCGTCCTGGTTTCGATGACTAGTAGTTTTTGAAACTGGATTCTTCTGGGGAATGGACAACACTTTAGTGTGCCAATTTAGCCTGAAAATTTTAGTGAAAGATAATTTAACTTTTATTGTGAGGCAGTTACACGTTGGAATCAGAGTTTGTAACCGCGTGTAAATGGATAAAAAAAGGGGAATGTTCTCGTACTTTGAAATTATAGGAAAAGGTACCTTTGGGTATTTTCCTATCTCAAAAGATCGATTGTCACGTGTCTGAAGCCTTTTTATACTTTGTATGATTGGTTGAAACAGGTCTATAGAGTTTGGTAGGATTTTTCAAAGATCAATTGCATTTAATTGCAGAAAAAAAAATGAAATAAATTCATCACATAGATGTAATCAATAGTAACTCTACTTGATTTGCTTAATCTAAAAAAAAAAAAAAAAAAAAAAAAAAAAAAAAAAAAAAAAAAAAAAAAAAAAAA